TGAGACTTGGAAAGGGTATAAAAAAAATAATTTGGGGTGTTATTTGCCACAGGTTACAAGCATCACAAAGCAATTATAAAAATATTTATTATGAATAACATAAAGAACTATTTCTAAAAGAAAAATAAAGCCATTGATGAATTAAATAAGAAGTTTGAAAAGCATAAACTTAAACCTTCCAAAATGTTAGCTAGATTTCAGTGATACATGCAGAATGGTTTACCAATGGAAATTATTTTACTATTGAAGAGATAGGGAAAAATCAAGGCAAGAGTGATTTTCCTAAGGAAATTTAACTAATATTGCTAATATTGACACTCAGCAAGAATTAAGATGGTTGGAAATCTAACCAAAATATAATAATACTAATTATCAAAGATTTTGATGATTATCATGGAAGTTTAAAAAACTGAGAAGTATGAGAAGGTCAAATTAAATATGAAACAATATGATTAAAAAGTTGCCAAGAAAGGCATTAGAAAAACTTTGGGAAAAGGTTAAAAAAGAAAGAACACCAACCAGTTTGAATTAAGTAACATTTGGCAAGAAAGCAATTTTATCAACAAAATAACTTGCCAGTTGAGATAAATATGATAATGGTGGCCACTGCCTATACTAATTCTCCACGGCAAAGAATTTAACTTAAGAAGGCAAGGAAAAAATCAAGAGTTTAAAAAACATTGCCAGATTTTAAGGATATATAAAAGATTCAGAAGAAAAAGAAAATATATAGCCAACACTCAGTTGGTTTTAAATGCTAAAATGACCGGTATACAAGAGTTAAAGGAAAAAATAGATATATGGAATATCAGCCAAAGGAATTCAAGAAAATTGAGAATCATATTTAGCTACTAAGCCTAACAGTGTAATGAAATTCGAACAGTTCTTTTGGGCGTGTAACATTAAACGAAATCTGTGCACCCAAATTTGCACATTTTAATTATTATTATTATTATTATTATTATTATTATTATTATACTAATACCTTATAACGGCTTGTCGGCTATTGTTATAAAAACTTTTTCTGAAGGTATCACTTCCTAATACGAAAATGATCTGTGAATAAAAATTCGGTTGTTGTCCTTGTTGTTCTCGTAAAATCATCCTTAAAAGTTGGTCGATTGACTATTTTTACTTTACAGATCGTTAAATTGGCCAATAAGAATGCAAGATCGTGATCAAAAATCATTTCGCGTTACCATTAAAGAATACTCTGACCGTTTAAGAGATAGTAAAATCATATCAAATCTATTTTTAGAAAAAAATTTTCCTAGTCCAACTCCCATATATATATACCTCACACAGTTCAAAATTTATTAACCAAACCGGGTCTGGTGCATCAAGTAAACATGTTTTTAAAGTCAATTTGAATATAAAGTCTCGTCGAGTTTGCATTATTAATGAATTTAGGGTGAAAATTTTAAATTAGTGATTTTTGTGAAACTTTGAGCTTAGTAAAAAGGTTCAAAACTCTGTTGAATCATGGATTATGTAAACTTTTGAGCAATTAGTAAAAAATGGCGTCCAAATACTTTTTTCCGGGTAGTTGTATATTTAACAAACGAGAGCGAGTATATATATTGCGTGTGTATATTGCGTGCAAATATTTTAAAAGAAGGTTTGTTATTTAAATTAACAATCAAAAATTGTATTTTTATTTAAATTAACAATCAAAAATTGTATTTTTATTTAAATTAACAATCAAAATTGTATTTTTATTTAAATTATGTTAATATATTAATAATAAATAATAATTATAAAATAAAATATTTTTAAGATATAAATTTGCTCTGTATAACGAACTTTATAATTTAAAAAGTTGTGATTATAAGAAATATCATTTGATTAATATATTTTGCAAATTGTTTCACTTTTTTTAAAAAATCAAAATATAAAAAATACATACATTAAAAACTCATGTATTATTATTATTATAATTAGTATTTTTTGATGTCAGCTGTAGTAGCACCCATTTTAAACTTTGGATTTGGTTCTTCTCTTTTATTATTTCCAGCACAAGTACAGTTGGAGGAAGTTGGGCGGAAGAAGATTGCATTATCACCACAATCTAAACTAAGGTCGTTAATGACTGAAACGAAAAATTCTGAGCTTCCGTCACCATTATCTTTAATATTAAATTCATCAGTGACATCCTTTATTAAATTTCCACACCCATCGATTATTTCAATTGAGTGGCGTTCGGATGAGGGAAGCCCGCCAAAGAATTTGCCAGTGAATTTTATTGATCCATGTTCATTTTGTGAGCCGGTGATTAAGCCACTGAGTTCATTATCGAATTCGGCACTTGCTACGGAACACGAACAGACTTTGTCTTCATTACGCTTTAATAATAAACTTCTAGTGCATATATTGGTAGAAGAAACTGCAGCACTTAGAATAGCGATAATGAAAAATAAAGCATAACCAAAAAAAGATTTTGAAATTAAATGCATGTTTGTATGTTATTTTTATAAATTAAATTGTAAAATTCTAAGGTGGTATTTTTATTATGATTAGTATGAATTTAAATTATTGAATTATTTTTTTTTAAAAAGAAAGAAAGGTATCCTTTTATATAAAATTTTATTTTTATTTTCCTATTATTTTGGTTTTTTTTATTTTTAGATTCTGGTACACAACATAACATATATAGACAATTGGAAAGTTTCGAAATTGTTCCGTATCTAGTGACAGGCGTAAAAATTATTTTGAAAAATGGCCGAGTTATTAAGTACTTAATAACTCTATTGATGATTACTTATTAAGCGTTAAAAAGACAAACGTACAGATCTCTTATTGGTATATACAGTAGCAAAAATTATTTGAATCGTTTAACCAAATATTAATTTGACGAACAAGTTAAATAATTAATTTAGTTTAAGTAATGAGTGTGCATAAAATACAGTGTGCAGAGTGTACATGCTAACCAAATTTGATAATTATTTTTTACCAAATCTGAATTTGGTTAGCACAGCACATTCTGCACACTTAATTCTATACATCGGGATTGATTGAAAATGGATCTTTTGGATTAATGACTCTTGCTCAGAGTGCAACAGTTAATAAGTGGTTATTAACTATCAATAACTCGGAGTTAATAAGTGTAGGGTTAAAAATTCCCATCACTACACGTATCCTTACAAATTTGTGTAACCCCGCTTTTCAATAATAAAATAAGGAACCCGTTTATTGAAAATCAGTATCATACTGGAAAACAATTAAGATACATGACCAATCAACAAGTGCGATTCATATTTTTTAGCACGGTGCTTATTCCGTTTGGTTGTTCCATTCAATTTACACGTAAAAAAGAAAGCTAGCATTTATTTAGCTTTGTACGAATCTATTGGGGTCTCTTTTGAAATAAAATTATTGATTACGCACATGGCTTGATTTATTATTTGTTATTTTTAGGGGTCTGCTAGTTAGCGATTTTAATAGATACATTGCCCTAAAAAAAAAATATGTAATAAAATTATATCAGAGAATCAGATTGAAACATATTGTTATGTAGGCATTAGAGAAATTATCACGATAAAGTAATTATTTTTAATTGATAAAGCTCTAGAAGTTGTAAAAGCATTAATTCTATACGTAAATTTTTTGCATAATTATTATGTATCTGATAATTGGATGTGAATTTGTTTTACATTAATGTTTTAATTTTTATTTATTCAAACAAACTAAATTTATTTAATGATGTATAATTCTTGAGATATGCAATTTTTGTCACCACAATTTTTTTCGTAATGCACTGTATATGAGATTTTTTTGTGGATTATGTCCATTACTGTTTTTGGGAATGACTATTATGAAGAAAAGTAAAGTAAATGGTTCCAAAAAGTCAAGTTGGATATGAAAAGATGACCCATTCTTGTAGTGGAAACATAAATAAAAATAGATTTCCGGTTTATCAAAATTACTAAATATTTGTGTGCACCTACAACGTTCCACCCCATGCGAGAGATTATTTAGTCAAACTGGAGATTTTAAAAAAAACAAACCTTATCCAACTTTTATTCGAAAAGATTGTTTTTTGATTGATAATTTTGATGGAATGTAAATTTAAATTTTTTGTAATCAATGAATAATCATACTAAATGATTGAATTTAATTGATTGAATATAAAAATATTCATTAGTACAACATCTAACCTTATATTCAATCAATTAAATTCAATCATATAGTATGATTATTCATTGATTACAAAAAATTTAAATATAAGGTTTCCTTTATTGATATTTCTTCTTTGTGTTGCATCCTGCGCTTATTGGGAAGATGTTATAGTAGATCTACTATATACATCTTCCCAATAAACACAGAAGAAGAAATATCAATAAAGGAAACCTTATAATTATTGAGATACACAAGTACAACATCATATTGTGGTGTTACAAAAGACTTCGGCTTTCTTAATCACGGAATAGTTGTTATTATTAGCATTGTTATATTTTTGGAATTTTTTTTTTAAGATGTGAATGGTATGCAGGTTATCTCGGCGATTAAAATGCAAGAATTTATATTTATAATTTATATTAATATATTATTAAAAATTTGAAATTCACATCAGGGATCTTCCATTAAAAAAACAAAAAAACCATTTAAAAAATGCCAGAAAAACTAAAAAGGACAATAATGTTACTAATGAACAATGTTAGTGTGATATTACAATCATTTATTAACATTTATTAATCTAATGGTATATTTTCATATCTTCAAGAAGAGATTATTGCAGATGTTCAGGAGAATGTTCCTTCGTTGGGCATAGAGATTCGGGCATTGAAAAATAAAACAATCCGCGAACGTTATATTTCATTTTTGTTATAATATTGTAAATGCATGCATTAAATAAATAAAAAACAGAAAAGGAAATTATTTTTTTTTTATTATTAGCAATTTATTTGTAAGTTTTCCGTAATGCACGGCAATAATTATATTTGTAAAATTAAATGATAATAATAATCATCTCTGTTTTAATATTAATTTTGTCCGGGACGACAAATTGCAAAATTGGTAATTTATATTTTACAAATATTATAAATTCCCAGCGACCTTTTTTCCCAGTAGTTAAATATTTTAAGTATTATTTCCAGCTAGTGTTGGTCGCCAAAACTATTTTGAAGAAGCGAAAGTCAAAACTAAAATTTAAAGTTATATGTCAAAACTAAATCAAAAGTCAAAAGTTTCGACTTATGGTGAAACCTTTTGAATTTCGCACAGTTGCGAAACTCTCTAGTTTTGGAAACCAACATTATTCCAGCCCTGCTATCCGATTAGTCAATTGTCAAAATAATTTATCATGAGTATCTGGACGCATCCATCAGTACTATAAGGTAAAAACAAACCTAAATTTACTTATAATTGTTGAGATATGCATCAATACGAATACGAAATTTCTTTGTGAATCATGTTCATTGACTACAACTATCTTGTACAACCTGGTTTTTTTTATTTACACATAAACAAAAATCATTGTGGTAGATGTTTTTGGGTTTATGGAATTTGTTGTACAACATGATAACACATATAATAACGGTTTATTATATCGTCTTATAACAGTCAAACGTCCTCCCATCACTATTAATCATTGAAATGATGATATTGGAATTTTTCCGTCCGCCTTCTTTTCGTCAAGCAATCCATTTAATTCATTATTTACGATTTATATATTAATTATTGTTATATAAAAACTTTTGGCTAATTTGATTTTCATTAAATTTACATAATTTATCATGAGCATCTGGACGCATCCATCAGTACTATAAGGTAAAAACAAACCTAAATTTACTTATAATTGTTGAGATATGCATCAATACGAATACGAAATTTCTTTGTGAATCATGTTCATTGACTACAACTATCTTGTACAACCCGGTTTTTTTTATTTGCACATAAACAAAAATCATTGTGGTAGATGTTTTTGGGTTTATGCAACTATGAGGTAAAAACAAACCTAAATTTACTTATAATTGTTGAGATATGCATCAATACAAGTACGAAATTTCTTTGTGAATCATGTTCATTGACTGCCTTTGGGAAACAACTATCTTGTACAATCTGGTTTTTTTTATTTACACAAACAAAATCATTGAAGTAGATGTTTTTGGGTTTATTGAATTTGTTGTACAACATGATAGCACATATAATAACGGTTTATTATATCGTCTTATAACAGTCAAACGCCCTCCCATCACTATTTAATCATTGAAATGATGATATTGGAATTTTTCCGTCCGCCTTCTTTTTTAAGAAAGACCTTACTTTTTTTCAAGCAATCCATTTAATTCATTATTTACGATTTATATATTAATTATTGTTATATAAAAACTTTTTGGCTAATTTGATTTTCATTAATTTACATCCCTTCTTATTAAAATGCTCGTCCACTTATTCAAAAAACCAATGACAGTTGAGCCAAAGTCGATTTTATATATTCGACGTTCTGCTATTGTTGTGTCAATTGTAATATTAATTATTTTTTTTGTGGTGTTGGTGATGAAGCTGGATGATGAACAGCCTACTATAGCTATCACATATTCGAAAGGAAGTCTTGATGATCGTGATAGCCTACCCGCACCAGGTAAAGATAGTTTGAGTTAAAAAATAATTCACCACAATCAAACCAAATGATATTTTTTCTAATATCAAAACTACGAATGAATGCAGTTATCTATTTAAGTTTTGAGACTGAGTTTGGCATCGGATGTAAATTCCTTTATGATAGATGTAAGTAAAATTTTATTTTTATTTTTATAATAATTGTTTTATTGTTAATTATTTCACAATAACTGACTCGAAATCTTCAAAAGTGAACGATAATGAAGGAGATTGCCAAAAATATGTAACACAACCAGTAGTATCAGAATATAGTAATCTTACTCACGGTCGTCCTTTTCGTGGAAAATTTGCACCAAAAGACTTAAATTTGAGCCGTGCAAATGATCTAGGAAATCCTTTGTTTTTTCTTCTTGACATAGGAGCGCTACCCGAAGATTTTAATCGTACCGTGATGATACAGGTATTTGATTCAGGTAAGTTTTTTTATAAAGCTGATTGCAGACATTGATTATTTTTTGCTGCTTTGATAATAATATGGCAATAAATAAATAGAATTTGATCCGTGGGCTGATGATTTTGATCAAAGTAGAATGACTCCATTTGCTGAATCATTTGACTCTATGAATCTCTACGTTATACCAAGTGGAGTAGTATGTATTTGGGATTAATCATTGTTTTAAAAAGGGGGATAAATTTGCAAATTGACAATATGATTTAAAATCAATAGAGTGAACTACTTACATACTCTAGAAGAATCAGAAAAACTCTACCCGAGTCAAAATCAACTTTAATTGGTTTCCGAACACCAAAATACAATGAAGTAAAGTACCTTGAATCAGAAATACGTAAGAATGTTTATTAAAAAAAGCTTGATTGCATATTTTATCATCATACGTGTATTTTTAATCCTGATTTTATTTGTGATACGGACTAATAACCACAGAGACTATCAATAATAGCTACGCGGCATCATTTGCACTTGTAAAAGTTGGTGTACAGGACTTCAATGTGGTAGTGGAACAAGAACAAAGGTAAAAACCGCATTTTTTTATTGGAATATTATTATTATGTCCTTGCTAACACATTTGTATGCACAATTTTACAATGATAACAATGTATAATAGGATCAATTCTGTAAGTAATTTAAAGATTCGTTTTTTGGAAAAATTCGTCACACGCAAATAGTAATAGTAATAGTAATCATTCTGATTATAGTTGGTAACCGTATTAGGAACTATTTCTGGCTATTATAGTATTATTGCAACCTTTTATATCCTTTTGTTTGGTAAGTTTGACTTTTTTTTTGTTTTTTGAGTTAAATCATTCGTTACGTAATTTACTCAATTATTTCAAAAAATTCTTAGGTGCCGGTTCACTCAGTCCATGGGGTATTGTACATAACGGATGCTGGAAATTCAGACGCTTCAAAAAGGAAACCGAAGATGAACTCAAAAAGGAAGCAGATAAATTCGCGTCGGAAGTGGAGAAGGGTGGCATAGATGATGCAGCAAAAGTTAAAGAATTGGAAGTTTGGAAATTACAAATTGAAAAAGACTTTCATGCAGAAAAAATTAAAAAATTGGAAATTTGGAAATCAGAAATTGAAGAAAAACTTAAAACTTTACCAATAAATCCCAATATAACATCGCAATCAGGGCTGGAAATAGGGTCTGAAAAAAACGGAAGTTCCTCCTGAATGCTAAAAATTTTCCGGAAGTTAAAAATTTTTAAAGGAAAATCCGGATTTTTAAAGTACTATTTCCAGTCCTGATCGCAACCATAACCACAACGATATGCAAGTCCAAACAAACGAACCACTAACAAGATTTCATATTATTTATAAAATAACATCTGATATATCAATATTATTCATTATTATTATTCCTTATTTAAATAAATTTGTTTATACTATAAATTGAGCTTACGATGTCATAGGTATCTATCTGTGTGTAAATTGTACAGTGCAGGACACCTAGTCCCGCAACTTTTTATTGGTCTTGTATATCCTTTAGTACTCCAAAAATGGAAATGACACCAAAAAAACAAACCATAGTTTTGAAGCCAAGACCTTTCTCTACAAATTTACGATTTCATTTTGTTGATATGTTACGTTACCATAGAGAGACCGAGCCTCAAAGTTGCATGAGTTTACTATGTTAACCCCAAAACTGTCATGTTACACGCGATTTTTTTATACAAAAACTAGAGTATGCCGGTCACCGGGATTTTATTTTCTAGTTAAAAAATTTGGCAAGATTTTAAAATTTAATAAATAATAAATAATTGTTTTAATATACTAATATTACATTATTAATATTGTCTATAATGGTAAAGGAATTGATATTTTTCTTTTAGGCAATTGTATTCTTGGATGATTGATTGATCTGTTATAATTGCATTTTTATCAAATGAAATAATTTGAAGGTTTTCCCAAGAAGTACATCTGCTTAGTGCAACATATGCTTGACCTGGGGAAAATATTTCAGAATCTAGTGTAATTGAAATTGATTAAAGGCTTATACTTTGTGTTTTGTGAGGGCAAAAGCATTTTGTAAGGGAAATTATGTCCTGGAAGCAAATGAACCATTTAGATAAAATTTTGAAGTATATTTTGATATTTTTAAATCTATAATTCCGCCATTTATACAAAAAACAATTCTGACTAAATCTTGAGTATGATCTATATCTGCAATTACACCAAAAGTTCCATTACAAATTCCTTTTCCAACCATATTATTATTAAGGTACATTACACATGCACCTTGTTATAGAATAAAATTATGTGTAATGTATCATTCTTTTTGTTTTTCTTTAGATCTTGAACTTTTTTTATTTACATTAATTATTTCATTTGATGCTAAGTCAGAAAGTTTGATTTTTTTTTTTTGCATTTGACGATTGTACTTGTTGTTTAACAGATTGATTAGTTGGTTGACTGGGAAGTTCAGTACTTTGTTGGAGTTCAAGTTCTTGTTGAAATTGTTGTTGTGATTTCTGTTGAGGTTTAGATTGTTGAAATTCAGGTTCCTGCTGGAATTGTTGAGGTTGTTGTTGAAGTGAAGGTTGATTGTTTGTTTGATTAGTCAATTGAAGTTGTTGTTGAGTAGGTTGGTTATTAGGTAATTGATTTTGATGATTATTTTGATTAGGTAATTGTATTTGTTGTTGATTTTCTTCTTGAAGAAAAAATTCTTTAGCCAAGTTTTTTCTTTGTGGCTGATGAGAAGATGAAGATGTTGATTGAAGTTAATGTTATTAAGTTCCACAATCATATTTCTGTTAATCACAGATAAATGACCAGATATAAACAATCTAGATACATTCTTGCAACTTTTGGTAATGCTTGATAATCTTGATTCAAATGGATGGAAAATAACAATTTTAAATTGTTTATTTATTTGTTTGCTATTTTTATCTTGTCCAACATTCTCTATCATTGCAATTTCAACACTAGTTCCTTTGGTGTTAATTTTTGGTTCAATAGTAGAAAATCCCACCATGCTCACAGATAAACCTACCATGGCAAACTGTTGGCTTTATTAAATCACTTAATTTATATGCATTAGTAATAGTCACCTATGAATATATTGATGTATATTTAATATTAATTAATACTAACAATAACAATAATTTAAATATATATGTTAATAAAAAAATATTTTTATTTGCACTTAAAATGTTCTCATCATTCATATAAAATTTGCTATTGTTAATATCTGGAACATATCTTTTAATTGATTCATCTAATGGGTGATATATTGTGTATAGATATTTAATCACATCTCCTCCATCTTCATTTCTTGAGATTGCATTTCCTGTAGTTATTTTAAATTTGGTTGTGAAGTTCTGAACACAGTTTTAAATTAGTAAGATAGTTGTAAGTAGACCTGGCATTTTTGTGTAATATTATTATATTGAATCGATTGATATTTTTTTCATATAACTTTTTATTATTATATATTTATATTGATATGTAAAAATTTTTTTTTGTTTATGTTTTTTTCGTATAACTTTATTATTATTATATTTATATTGGATATGTAAAAACATTTTTTTTTTTTGTGATTATTTTCGTTTTATATTTTTATATTTGAAATATGTAAAAAACAATTTTTTTTATTATAAATACATATGATTATTTTCGATTTTCGTTTTGACTATTTTCTATAATAATAATTATTAATGTTATTATCAGTCGTAGGCAGTGTTGGAAATTCGTCGATCTTATGATCTGCAAAAAAAAATTTGTGCACATATGAACACAAGAAATTTTTATTT